TTTTCCCCGCTTCAGCAGAACTCAGATGCACCATGGTGTTGGTTTTTGTGGATCTGACTTGTCAGAAGCAAGCATGAGCAGCAGTTGGCCCTGCTCTGTCTTTTATGCCCAGTCTTGGCTCCCTCCTTCCCTGGTTCTGTAAGAAGATTGGTCAAGTCCAGGGTGTGGCTATGCAGAGTGAGCCCTGAGTGATGACAGCCATACCTGTTCTTGGCAGTTCTGGCATTGGCTTAGGAGTTTAACTTTAGACTTTCAGCCTTCCCTTTATGTATCTCCTGGTCCTAATCCTGGAGTACAAATTTCCCCTTAAAAACATACTTGGCAACATTTTTAATGCAATTTTTGGAATTAATAGACCTTGTAGGTCTATTAAAGATCACTTCCCCAGTTTTATTATTATACAAATGAGGAATTGAGGCCCAAAAAGTGGAAGGGATTTAGCCATTTTGGTTCAGCTGAAGAGAGTATGGATGCATCTCCCTGTATTCCTAGAATATGCAAAATAAACCTTAGAACAGAGCGGATGAAGCTGCTATCTTGATTCTAAATATAAGTTCCTTTTTTGCGTGGATTAAACTTTCTGGTAAGAAAATAAATATCATTTATTCATTGCTGTTGTTTTTTTTGTGTGTGCATGAGTGTGTGTGTGTGTGTGTGTGTGTGTGTGTGTGTGTTGTGTTCTTTGATTATGCAATTTGGCCAACTAACCAAATAAGTGATGTTTATACAAATGAATAAATCTGAATCATGCATGCCCTGTGTAGTAGCAGCTTGATTAGGAATGAGGATCCAGAGAAGAAAAGAAAACTCAGAATTTGATAAAAATGAAAAATAGTATAAGCAGTTTAGAGCCCATTTAGTGCGATTTAGAGTTTGGGGTAACATTACAGGAAGCATCAGTTTTGAATGAAAGACAAAATATTGATACCTAACAACTTCACTTTGTAGTGATGTGGGGAGTACAGGAGGAATAGAGAGCTCCTCTGCGATTTACAAAGGTGGCAGGAAAGTGGAATGGCAACCTGTCACAGGATTTTCCCTCCTAGGTCACAGAGCATACTATGCTTTACAATTATTTCCTTCATTCAACTTCTTTGCCCTCGTCCTATTTGCTCTATATATTTTGACTTGTCTCCTTTATTTTAATATACTTTCAACCTGAATAGCTTTTACCATATTCTTTCTCATTTCTTTTCCAGCCAATGTACTAAATTGTTAATTTTTCAGGTTAGGGAAAAAAACCCTAAGGTGTAGTTTTGTTCCTTGTTGTTAAAAGCTGTAACAAGAAGAATAAAACATCAAGAATTTTGAGCAGTAACTAGGATCTCGGCATTCCCCATGGGCCCTGGTAGTCATTCTCTTACTTTCTATCATCTCTACATACTCAAACTTGATCCTGTCTTAAATTCCCATTTCTTATTGAGTGATAAAAGGGGCATATTTCTTTACATGGCATGTTTTTCCTACATTAAAGTCTCCTGATCAGGTGCCCCAATGTCTAGAAACATCCATTTCATCCTTTGTCATCACTACCAATGAACATTCAACAGACATATTAGCCTTTAAGCATTAACAGTCTGAAACTCTAATTATAACAATATCTTTATATACACCAGAAAAAAAGTGCATTCGATATTGATAGCTGCTCCAAGGAAACTGACAAATTTTCTACCTGTGCTCCCTTCTCCAAAGGAGTTTTTCTTCCATTGCTAGATAAAAAGATTCCACACCCTTTTTACCTATCCCAACCAATAGCAGGAACTTGTGAACAAAAATTCCTCAGATTATTCCTGGTCATGTGCAAGTACTGGGTTCTTCTACAGTTCTCTTGAGCTCAGGAAGGAATTCTATGCTCAGATATGATTACATCTGAAAGCATTATAGAACTTTTATATTCATTCTTCCATAAAAGGGTGAAGTAAAATAGAACCATTTGTTTATCCTTAGGAAAAAGTTCACGTGTTGACTTCTGGAAAAAGATGTCTTTCAAATATTTGATAAGTTAAAAATGCAAGTTTTATTGGATCTTTAGATTTTAGGGCTCATCTTATTAAAGTTAAATCTGTATTGCCCTTATCATGGTTTAACATGCAGACTGTTTTCAAGACCGTTGTTCACACCCTTGAGTCAGGCATGTGAATGTGAAAGAAGCCACTCAGAGGATGGCTGGTATATCCTTTGCAGTGTATGCACATATGAATAATAAATAAATAAATAAATAAAGTAAAAATAAATTTAAAAAAATGAAAATATCCACAGATCTTGCCAAAGACTAATATATAATGTTGACATTTTTCTTTAAAAAGGCAAATTATAAAAATTACAACTTTGCAATTTTGGTTAGTACCTTTTTAAACATTTCTCCCATGTTTCCCTGTGCTCAGAAATGGCTCTCCAAAGTCCTGCTTTGTTTTCTTCCTCCATAATCACTTGACAACTGATTTCTACTGGCTACTGCTGCAAAACCATCATTCTGGCTCAGCGCAAGGACTGCTGCTCCACAGCTTCTGCTAACTATAACTGAAGGGAGCACCAAAGGGCTTTGCCTTCCAGTACCCTGTAGGAACAAGGTTATTATAGGGCTATCAAAAGGTCAGGCATACAAGGCAAAATAAATTGTAAAGCAGGATAAATATAACAACTGTGATTATCTGTGGATTTTCTTCCATGTTTATAACTCTAAGCTGACTTCATCTTATAAAGGGTCCCACAGAATATCTACTCCACTTCTATTCCAGCCTCACTGACCACTAAATATACATGCACTACAAAGAAAGACAGAAATATGTTTCCTTTATTCCCACTGTTAACTTGCCCATTGCTAATTACACAATGGACCCGGATTCAGTATCATGAAAAGGATTGGCACTAACTTTCTTCAAGAGAACCATGACACTTATTCCATAAGGATGGGATGTTGTCATTTGTTTCAAAAGTGACACTGACCTAGGATATACTTTTGTACATGATCTGGTATTCAATCCTGAATTCTGCAAGTAAGACATTTAAATATTTTGGTCTGCTCTTTCTGAGTGAACACAGATGCACTAGAGGCTATGGTCTTTTCTCCCACATTCACATCTCTCAGTTACTTTATCTGAGGAACTGCTCAGAATAAGTAATATAAAATAGTTCCAAATGGAACAGAACTTTAAAAATAAGCCACAGACACACAGTTTAATTCATTAAAAAATTGCATTCCTCACTAGAAAGCAATAAAGTCAATAAAACACCACCTTGCTAAAGTATATATCCAATTATTATGGAGTAATTGATTTCCCAGTCTATGAATTGCACAACAGTATTTCCTCCACCAGAGGAATTTAGCCTTTGTACACCTCATGAAGTAGGTCACGTTGTTGATCCGTAGAGGTAGGAAGGCTGTCTGCCTTAAGGATGAGTTGAAGGCTCTGTGCTTAGAGGCAGAATCCTGGCTTCAGTCTAGGTACCCATAACAGACAGAAGGATTTAATTCCAAAATCATCAGGGAACATATGAGGCTAAAGAGATGGATAATCTAGTTAAATATTATGCCAAATTCCCTTGACTCTGTGATTTTTATTAAATCTGCTTTTGAACTCAAGACCATGATAACACTTAATTCTCTCTTTTTCTCTCCCTCTCTCTTCTCTTACACACACACACACACACACACACACACACACATGTACAGACACACACAAAACATGTATTTATTCAAACACCTTGAGCATAACCCTTAAAAAATTCATAGAGAATATGACTATTTGGAAATTAAGAAATAAAACTAGTTTGATACCTCAAGAGACTAATTATGCTACTACACTTTTACACTTTTATTTTAACTAGTAATGGCAATAGAATAAATCTCTCCATCCATTTACCACTAATCTTCAATACGAATACCCCAAAGTCTGAAATATAGAAATTGTTTATGAAAGACATGATTCTCACACAGGGGTTAGTTTCTCAAGTTCTTCAATGTGAGAAATTTTAGGCCCCACTGTTAGCGTTGATTCACTGTTTTCTTCCAGAGGTTGTTGTAAATTTGGATATAAAGAAAGCTTTTTGGGTTTTTCTTTTTGAGAAGGGAGTCAGTCTATTTCTCATTCAAGACTTGACACCCTCAATCTCTCTTAATCTCTCAAATCTTCTCCAAAACTATTCTTCATCCAATTATTGATTCCTATTAGTGCTTCGTGTTTCTTAGGGATAAGCTTCCTTATATTGCATGGGAGTAGGATGCCTCTGGGATATGAGCCTGTGGATCTTAAAAGTCCTACTCAGATATAAAGAGTTCTCAGTGTCTACTATGTACAATGGCCTGAGAAAGAAAAGAGCCTTTTTCTTCAGGCAGTGGTGAAAACATCAAACAGTACACATTATCAGCATACCCTGCCAGTAGAAACAGAGTTAAGATGAAAACACCTCACACAGAAGGAAGCACCTGGTTTTGTGCAGGTATTTAAGTACATCTAAAAGTAATCAATCTGAATGATATATTTAGAGAAATAGACATGTACTGGAAAGTTGTAAAAACCCTTCTAATTTCATATATGGCAAAAATATCACTCAGAGAAAGATTCACTACTGTGAACTTTTCCTTACATGTAAGGAAGCTTCTCCTTCTGCCAACAACACTTAGTGGAATATTATATTGTGGTCTACAGTATACAGCCAACTAACACGGGAGGAAAGTAAGCACAAAGTGCCCTGGGTGATCACTATGCTTCTCACTGCAAATTTATTTTCACAAAAATTGTTGGAGGTGGACCACAGCACTAACTATCCTTGAGTCTAGGTCTTAGTTGGAGCCCCATATATCCCCTGAAGTGCCAGTATCCCCTCTATATGAAATACTCATGAGAATTGCTATGCTTTGGAGAAAGAAGTGTCATTCATTAGTGTCTGCATCTGGCACAATTTTAAAAAATCATTTCCCACGACATTCGTATACCACACCAGACACCCTCTAGGATGTTCACACATCCTCAGAGGAAAAAATAAAGCAAGTGAAATAGTGATGAGCTTCAGCTAATTCTTTATTAAGCAGAATATATACCCTGGAGGATGGGCATTGTTTCCCAATGTCCAGAAGATAGGCTCTAGGAAATAGAGTCTTCCAGTGGTCACCAGGAACCAGGCCAAGTTCTCAGTGGTATTTGTGGGCCAGAGCGTTAGCTACTCCAGCCACCACTTTCTGAAAGGCAGCCTGTGTTTCTATAGTGAAATCCTTGCCAAAGTGGCGGGACAGCACAATCACTATCTCATTGCCCAGGAGCTGTGGGGAAGAGGTAGACAGACATATACATATGGTCAACAAGATGATTAAGCTTTGCTGTTGAGAAATCGCACCAATACCCATTATTATCTGGCCACATTCAGGCCCAAATTGATCCCCAGGCTATTCTTACCAAATCTGAAAGAAAACATCTATACACAATTATATATACATATTTGTATCTATATTCATAATATGCAGGTTTACTAATTAATTGATTGATCAATTTAATGATAAGCTTTCTCTTAGCACCACCAATATGACTTTCTGGCATTTCTGTTCACATATTTATTTTCCTTTCCATATTTATTCACTTACTCCTGACCTCATTAGATTCCAAGTATTCTTCATTTTGAGAATAATTTACAGTCACTATATTATCTCAAGTGAAAAATTAGCAGGTAGAGGTGTTACGCAAAATTTGGGTAGGGTATCAGAGAAAGGTAGTTGGGATGAGAGGACGGAGAGAGAAAGAAAGCCAAAGGGGGGGAAGAGACAGTGGGAGAGGGACAGACAGTGAGAGAGAGAGAGAGAGAGAGAGTCAGAGAGAAAGAAGGAGACAGGAAGAGAGAGTGTGAGATTGAGACAAAGAGAGAGAGAGAGGAAGACAGAGGGGCAAATGTTAGGATATTAAATAATGAAATTCATTAAAAAGCAGGGCTGGGGGAAGCAAACAGGAAAGAATACTGAAAGAAATTGGCAAATATTTGAAAAGCATCAAATGATGAAATAGAGGAAAGTATGATGAATATGGAAGAAGGTTAAAAAGATGAGCAAGAAAATGAAAATAAAAAGTGAAGCATCTCACTTTGAAGTTCTCAGGATCCACGTGCAGCTTGTCACAGTGCAGCTCACTCAGACTGCTAAAAGTGCCCTTGAGGTTGTCCAGGTGTTTCAGGCCTTCACTAAAAGAATTCAGCACCTTCTTGCCGTGGGCTTTCACCTTAGGGTTGTGTAATATAGCATCAGCCGAGGACAGATCTCCAAAGGATCCAAAATACCTCTGGGTCCATGGGTAGACAATCAGCAGCCTGAGGAGTTAAAAACAGGCCAGGGCAATAGGGAAAGTCAGTGTGTGTCAGAATCCAGGAGACTTTTCTGTCTCCACAAGTCCAGCTTCCCTTTGCCTCCTTCAGTTTTCTTATAACCAGATTCCTACCTTGCCAGGGCCTCACCACCGATTTCTTCAATGTTCACCTTGTCCCACACACCCTGGATTTTCCCCGCTTCAGCAGAACTCAGATGCACCATGGTGTTGGTTTTTGTGGATCTGACTTGTCAGAAGCAAGCATGAGCAGCAGTTGGCCCTGCTCTGTCTTTTATGCCCAGTCTTGGCTCCCTCCTTCCCTGGTTCTGTAAGAAGATTGGTCAAGTCCAGGGTGTGGCTATGCAGAGTGAGCCCTGAGTGATGACAGCCATACCTGTTCTTGGCAGTTCTGGCATTGGCTTAGGAGTTTAACTTTAGACTTTCAGCCTTCCCTTTATGTATCTCCTGGTCCTAATCCTGGAGTACAAATTTCCCCTTAAAAACATACTTGGCAACATTTTTAATGCAATTTTTGGAATTAATAGACCTTGTAGGTCTATTAAAGATCACTTCCCCAGTTTTATTATTATACAAATGAGGAATTGAGGCCCAAAAAGTGGAAGGGATTTAGCCATTTTGGTTCAGCTGAAGAGAGTATGGATGCATCTCCCTGTATTCCTAGAATATGCAAAATAAACCTTAGAACAGAGCGGATGAAGCTGCTATCTTGATTCTAAATATAAGTTCCTTTTTTGCGTGGATTAAACTTTCTGGTAAGAAAATAAATATCATTTATTCATTGCTGTTGTTTTTTTTGTGTGTGCATGAGTGTGTGTGTGTGTGTGTGTGTGTGTGTGTGTGTGTTGTTGTTTCTTTGATTATGCAATTTGGCCAACTAACCAAATAAGTGATGTTTATACAAATGAATAAATCTGAATCATGCATGCCCTGTGTAGTAGCAGCTTGATTAGGAATGAGGATCCAGAGAAGAAAAGAAAACTCAGAATTTGATAAAAATGAAAAATAGTATAAGCAGTTTAGAGCCCATTTAGTGCGATTTAGAGTTTGGGGTAACATTACAGGAAGCATCAGTTTTGAATGAAAGACAAAATATTGATACCTAACAACTTCACTTTGTAGTGATGTGGGGAGTACAGGAGGAATAGAGAGCTCCTCTGCGATTTACAAAGGTGGCAGGAAAGTGGAATGGCAACCTGTCACAGGATTTTCCCTCCTAGGTCACAGAGCATACTATGCTTTACAATTATTTCCTTCATTCAACTTCTTTGCCCTCGTCCTATTTGCTCTATATATTTTGACTTGTCTCCTTTATTTTAATATACTTTCAACCTGAATAGCTTTTACCATATTCTTTCTCATTTCTTTTCCAGCCAATGTACTAAATTGTTAATTTTTCAGGTTAGGGAAAAAAACCCTAAGGTGTAGTTTTGTTCCTTGTTGTTAAAAGCTGTAACAAGAAGAATAAAACATCAAGAATTTTGAGCAGTAACTAGGATCTCGGCATTCCCCATGGGCCCTGGTAGTCATTCTCTTACTTTCTATCATCTCTACATACTCAAACTTGATCCTGTCTTAAATTCCCATTTCTTATTGAGTGATAAAAGGGGCATATTTCTTTACATGGCATGTTTTTCCTACATTAAAGTCTCCTGATCAGGTGCCCCAATGTCTAGAAACATCCATTTCATCCTTTGTCATCACTACCAATGAACATTCAACAGACATATTAGCCTTTAAGCATTAACAGTCTGAAACTCTAATTATAACAATATCTTTATATACACCAGAAAAAAAGTGCATTCGATATTGATAGCTGCTCCAAGGAAACTGACAAATTTTCTACCTGTGCTCCCTTCTCCAAAGGAGTTTTTCTTCCATTGCTAGATAAAAAGATTCCACACCCTTTTTACCTATCCCAACCAATAGCAGGAACTTGTGAACAAAAATTCCTCAGATTATTCCTGGTCATGTGCAAGTACTGGGTTCTTCTACAGTTCTCTTGAGCTCAGGAAGGAATTCTATGCTCAGATATGATTACATCTGAAAGCATTATAGAACTTTTATATTCATTCTTCCATAAAAGGGTGAAGTAAAATAGAACCATTTGTTTATCCTTAGGAAAAAGTTCACGTGTTGACTTCTGGAAAAAGATGTCTTTCAAATATTTGATAAGTTAAAAATGCAAGTTTTATTGGATCTTTAGATTTTAGGGCTCATCTTATTAAAGTTAAATCTGTATTGCCCTTATCATGGTTTAACATGCAGACTGTTTTCAAGACCGTTGTTCACACCCTTGAGTCAGGCATGTGAATGTGAAAGAAGCCACTCAGAGGATGGCTGGTATATCCTTTGCAGTGTATGCACATATGAATAATAAATAAATAAATAAATAAAGTAAAAATAAATTTAAAAAAAATGAAAATATCCACAGATCTTGCCAAAGACTAATATATAATGTTGACATTTTTCTTTAAAAAGGCAAATTATAAAAATTACAACTTTGCAATTTTGGTTAGTACCTTTTTAAACATTTCTCCCATGTTTCCCTGTGCTCAGAAATGGCTCTCCAAAGTCCTGCTTTGTTTTCTTCCTCCATAATCACTTGACAACTGATTTCTACTGGCTACTGCTGCAAAACCATCATTCTGGCTCAGCGCAAGGACTGCTGCTCCACAGCTTCTGCTAACTATAACTGAAGGGAGCACCAAAGGGCTTTGCCTTCCAGTACCCTGTAGGAACAAGGTTATTATAGGGCTATCAAAAGGTCAGGCATACAAGGCAAAATAAATTGTAAAGCAGGATAAATATAACAACTGTGATTATCTGTGGATTTTCTTCCATGTTTATAACTCTAAGCTGACTTCATCTTATAAAGGGTCCCACAGAATATCTACTCCACTTCTATTCCAGCCTCACTGACCACTAAATATACATGCACTACAAAAGAAAGACAGAAATATGTTTCCTTTATTCCCACTGTTAACTTGCCCATTGCTAATTACACAATGGACCCGGATTCAGTATCATGAAAAGGATTGGCACTAACTTTCTTCAAGAGAACCATGACACTTATTCCATAAGGATGGGATGTTGTCATTTGTTTCAAAAGTGACACTGACCTAGGATATACTTTTGTACATGATCTGGTATTCAATCCTGAATTCTGCAAGTAAGACATTTAAATATTTTGGTCTGCTCTTTCTGAGTGAACACAGATGCACTAGAGGCTATGGTCTTTTCTCCCACATTCACATCTCTCAGTTACTTTATCTGAGGAACTGCTCAGAATAAGTAATATAAAATAGTTCCAAATGGAACAGAACTTTAAAAAATAAGCCACAGACACACAGTTTAATTCATTAAAAAATTGCATTCCTCACTAGAAAGCAATAAAGTCAATAAAACACCACCTTGCTAAAGTATATATCCAATTATTATGGAGTAATTGATTTCCCAGTCTATGAATTGCACAACAGTATTTCCTCCACCAGAGGAATTTAGCCTTTGTACACCTCATGAAGTAGGTCACGTTGTTGATCCGTAGAGGTAGGAAGGCTGTCTGCCTTAAGGATGAGTTGAAGGCTCTGTGCTTAGAGGCAGAATCCTGGCTTCAGTCTAGGTACCCATAACAGACAGAAGGATTTAATTCCAAAATCATCAGGGAACATATGAGGCTAAAGAGATGGATAATCTAGTTAAATATTATGCCAAATTCCCTTGACTCTGTGATTTTTATTAAATCTGCTTTTGAACTCAAGACCATGATAACACTTAATTCTCTTTTTCTCTCCCTCTCTCTTCTCTTACACACACACACACACACACACACACACACACACATGTACAGACACACACAAAACATGTATTTATTCAAACACCTTGAGCATAACCCTTAAAAAATTCATAGAGAATATGACTATTTGGAAATTAAGAAATAAAACTAGTTTGATACCTCAAGAGACTAATTATGCTACTACACTTTTACACTTTTATTTTAACTAGTAATGGCAATAGAATAAATCTCTCCATCCATTTACCACTAATCTTCAATACGAATACCCCAAAGTCTGAAATATAGAAATTGTTTATGAAAGACATGATTCTCACACAGGGGTTAGTTTCTCAAGTTCTTCAATGTGAGAAATTTAGGCCCCACTGTTAGCGTTGATTCACTGTTTTCTTCCAGAGGTTGTTGTAAATTTGGATATAAAGAAAGCTTTTTGGGTTTTTCTTTTTGAGAAGGGAGTCAGTCTATTTCTCATTCAAGACTTGACACCCTCAATCTCTCTTAATCTCTCAAATCTTCTCCAAAACTATTCTTCATCCAATTATTGATTCCTATTAGTGCTTCGTGTTTCTTAGGGATAAGCTTCCTTATATTGCATGGGAGTAGGATGCCTCTGGGATATGAGCCTGTGGATCTTAAAAGTCCTACTCAGATATAAAGAGTTCTCAGTGTCTACTATGTACAATGGCCTGAGAAAGAAAAGAGCCTTTTTCTTCAGGCAGTGGTGAAAACATCAAACAGTACACATTATCAGCATACCCTGCCAGTAGAAACAGAGTTAAGATGAAAACACCTCACACAGAAGGAAGCACCTGGTTTTGTGCAGGTATTTAAGTACATCTAAAAGTAATCAATCTGAATGATATATTTAGAGAAATAGACATGTACTGGAAAGTTGTAAAAACCCTTCTAATTTCATATATGGCAAAAATATCACTCAGAGAAAGATTCACTACTGTGAACTTTTCCTTACATGTAAGGAAGCTTCTCCTTCTGCCAACAACACTTAGTGGAATATTATATTGTGGTCTACAGTATACAGCCAACTAACACGGGAGGAAAGTAAGCACAAAGTGCCCTGAGTGATCACTATGCTTCTCACTGCAAATTTATTTTCACAAAAATTGTTGGAGGTGGACCACAGCACTAACTATCCTTGAGTCTAGGTCTTAGTTGGAGCCCCATATATCCCCTGAAGTGCCAGTATCCCCTCTATATGAAATACTCATGAGAATTGCTATGCTTTGGAGAAAGAAGTGTCATTCATTAGTGTCTGCATCTGGCACAATTTTAAAAAATCATTTCCCACGACATTCGTATACCACACCAGACACCCTCTAGGATGTTCACACATCCTCAGAGGAAAAAATAAAGCAAGTGAAATAGTGATGAGCTTCAGCTAATTCTTTATTAAGCAGAATATATACCCTGGAGGATGGGCATTGTTTCCCAATGTCCAGAAGATA